TGGGTATTGTTACGTCCTTGTGTATGTTGGGATATGGTCACATGTTTTTCTCTCCTCCTTCTTTCACTGCCAAGCAGTGCTCCAAATCATCCGCAGCTGATTGCAATTAGCGGCAGCGTGGTTTCCCTGTTACACAGCGCGCAACAGATATAAAGCAGCAGAGAGACACAGCTCAGGAGAAGTCCCTTATCCGCTATCCCAGAGATGTTGTTTTATTTGCTGTTAAGCAACTTGTGAAATGTAAACCTAAAGTGTGGTTACAACGATGTTGCTGTTAAGATTCTGTGTGAGTCTAGTTCTGTCAAACCGGGTAGGGAGATGGGTGCCGATTTATTTGGGTTTATCCCCTTCTACATTTTTCACCTGTTTTTCTTTAGTCAGGGAGAGAGGTAGGATTATTGTCTTTAATTTTGTTTTGTTTTGCCAGGGAAGTTATTTTGTTATAACCTTTAGAAAGACTGTTTTGTTTGTTATTTTGGTAGCGTTATTAAAATTACAGAGAATGATAATGAAAGAGTCCGGGTAACGCTGCTCTGTGTGTGTGATCTGATCGGCCAACAGTTCTAGCACCGCGTTCACACGCGCGTCAGGAGGAATGTACACACTCACCAAAACAAACAAGGAGAACTCCCGTGGTGAATAAAAAGGCTTACATTTTATAAAGAGAGCTTTATTTGTGGGCAGCGCATTAAAACGGTCTTTAAAATAGTCACGTCTGTACATCAGCCTTCATTGATATAAAAATATAATCCACCGCCTCTCGTTTTCCCCGACGACTTGGTGACGTGGTCCACTCTGAACAGCTGGAAGCCCATTAGATGAAGCACGCTGTCCTGGATGGCTCCGTTCAACCAGGTTTCCGTGAAGCAAAGCACAGCAGAGTTTAAAAAGTCCCGTTTATGCGGATGAGGAGTAGTACAGTAGTTCATCTGTTTTATTTGCTAGGGAGCGGAGATTCACCAGATGAATGCTCGGCAGCGGAGTCCTAATACCGTGCTGTCAGAATTTCACGAGCGCACCAGTGCGCTTCCCTCGTTTGCGTTTCTTGGAGCGCTCGTATAGGATTGCAGTTTCTCTGACTAGAATGTCCAGTAAAATGTCTGAATGCTCAAAAGTCAGCAAAAAAATTATTTGGTGTGCTATTTCTGATGTCTAGCAGCTAAAGCTGATTGGAAAAAAGTTACTTAAAATAGGACAAACAAACAAGAATAGTAAAAGTACCAAGGAGCTACAAACCGAGGCAGCCATGCACGGCACCATCTTGTTAAATATATATATATATATTGTGAGTCTAGTTCTGTCAAGCCATGTAGGGAGATGGGTGCCGATTTATTTGGGTTTATCCCCTTCTACATTTTTCACCTGTTTTTCTTTAGTCAGGGAGAGAGGTAGGATTATTGTCTTTAATTTTGTTTTGTTTTGCCAGGGAAGTTATTTTGTTATAACCTTTAGAAAGACTGTTTTGTTTGTTATTTTGGCATTTGCTCTCTCCTGACGCCTTGGTTAAGTTGATTAATTGCCCTGATATTTGTATATTTTCTGTATATATTCTTTTGGGTTTATTTTAAGCCCTTAATAAAAATACTTAAGTATATTTCTGGTATTTGGGTATGCTTCTGTTTTATGGTGTTAAATAGAGGGTTTTGTGTGAACCTTTATTAGAAATATCAGTGGTGAAAGTGACAAGAGCTGGGATAGAGGAAAATTAGATTTCTCATCATTAATTTATTTAATCACACCTTTTAACTTTGTCACTTCCGCTCCGTAACCCCTAGACCGAAGAGGGGAATGTAACGGTATAGAAAAGAATCACCCCCCTTTAAAATAATCTCATTTTGTTGCTTTACAGCCCAAAATGAAGACGGACACAGATTTTGTTTTATCCAGCTGTATTTACTCAGTGCAACTTATAACATCCATGTGAAAGATATAAAACCAACATGTCAGAAAAAAAACCCATAAAAAAGCAGAATCATTGAGTTGGAAAAAGGATCAACCCATCAACCCATGTGTCAATATTTTGTTGAACCATCTTTAGCTTTAATTACAGCCTTTAGTCTGTTGGGATATGTTTCTACTAACTTTGCAATATTTGCCCACTCTTCTTTACAGAACTGCTCAAGTTCAGCTAAATTTGATGGTGACCGTTTGTGGACTGTAGTCTTCAAGTCATTCCACAGATTTTCAATGGGGTTTAAGTCTGGGCTCTGAATAGGCCATGCAAGGACATTCAACTTTTTCTCCTTTACCCACTGTGTGCTCAGTTTTGCTGTGTGCTTTGTGTCATTGTCATGCTGGAAGGTAAACCACCTTCCCATTGACAACTTTCTGGCAGAGGGCAGCAGATTTTTCTCAAGAATTTGAAGGTATTTTGCCCCATCCATTTGCTCCATGTGGCCTCAGAATCTTCAAGGTGCATTTTGGCAAAGCTCAGTCATGACTGCATGTGGCCTTTCTTGGGGAGTGGCTTTTTTCTTGCAACCCTCCCATACAAGCCACATCTGTGGAGAATTTGTGATATTGTTGTCACATGCACACAATGGCCATTCTTTGTCATAAATTCCTGCAACTGTTTCGTCCTGGCTCTTTCATCCAGTTTGGAGCAACGTCTTGATCCAGGGAGGGTCTGTGTTGTACCAAATACCTTCCACTTCTTAATAATAGTCCACAACTTTATCCCGGAGATCTTTTGACAGTGCCTTGCCACCCATAGAATGGATGCCACAATTACGTAATCGTTCAAATCGGCAATTAATCGATCAAAGTTATTCTGCATGCTTAAGATGCGTTTTTTCTTTCTACGTGTTATACAATTATGATTTTTGTCATAATCGTGCAGCCCTAGTTGATTGTTTGCTTCAGTTGCACTACCAAGGACTGAAATGCTCCAGGAAAGCTCTTTTCATGCTGAGCTAATCAAAATGACCACAGCTGATCACAGTTGAAAGTCAAATGGCTTTGTGTGCATTGAGAAGGTGATTAGCTGCACCTGATTGAGTTTACAGGTCATGTTTAGGAGGGGGCTGATCATTTTTCCAACTCAGTGATTGTTTATTTTTTCTGACATGTTGGTGTTATATCTTGGATGTTATAAATACTGACCAAATGCTGGCTAAAACAAAAACTGTGTCTGTCTTTATTTCAGTCTGCAAAGCAACAAAATGAGATTATTTTAAAGGGGGGTGATTCTTTTCTATACCCATTGTACAGGATGTTTGCACGGATGTTATTAAGCAAATAATTTCTCCAGGCAGAAGATCAGAAGTAGATCCTTCAAGGAAAAGGTTCGGAAGCTAGAATAAAAACCAGGCTGGAAGAACCTAAAAAGCTATTTAGAGAAATAACTCAGTGTTTATCAGATGGCCAGATGTGACCTCAGTGAAGAGAAGGCTCCTGTCTGGTTCAAACAGTCACCATTAGTCTCACTGGCCACATGTATATTTCATACAGACGTCTATCTTTGAGCAGAAGTGGCTAAGGTTTCCTTTTCAGCCTTGGCTGTGGAAACATTGATTTCCACACACATGGTGCTACTTCAGAGTCCCTTGATGCACAGCGGTGACATAAGCTACCGGACACATGTGCAGGCTTCCCTTTCCATTAAATATACATCCTCTGCAACTTATTCATTTCTCCAACTGTGATACTAGAAAAATAACAAACCTCAGAAGGGCAGCACATCTCAGGATGGAGTATATTTCAGCACAAATAAAGCTTGATTTGTTTCACTGCAAACGCAACAAACAGGGTCTGAAGGATCTCCTGCATCTGTTGTCGTAGATGTTATATAACTGGAAGTGAAATTCACCTCATGCTCATTTTTAAAGTTACTCGATAGCTCTGGCATTAATAGAAAGCCCCCTTTAATCCATTTTAGAGACGTCAGGCTGTGGGGTAAGACAGCAGCTTTCAAAGTGTGAAGTGAAGTCCCTGTGGGAGGCTATTCTCAAATCTCACTCACTTCCTCAAATTCGGCATATTTTTTATACGTGTGAGAACCAATGAACTCTTTCTCCTCCACTATATTCTGCTCATATGGTGTGCTCATATGCATTGCATTTACATAAGCATGTACCACGGTGTTAGATTTGATTTGTCACACAAAGCTATTATATACCTTCAGAAGACTAGAGATATAGCACACGAGTCATGAGAAACACTTTAATGGTGCTGTTGTATGCTTCTTAGAGCTTAAATGTCACATTCATTATCATTTCATCCTTTATCTCCTTTTGTGTTCAGAAAATCATATGGCTGAATGATACATTTTAAAATATTATGCACATATCATATGCAAAGCAATACTGTCTTTATATTTTTATTTATTTATGGATATTTTAAGCATCAATTACCATAATTAAATGCTATTAAATGTTATTAAAAATGATCAAAATGTTTTAATATTGTATTCTGTGGAAACAATGTAGGCCTAGTGAGAAAAATATTTTTTGATGATTTTTATTATTCAACAAAACCGCGAAAAAAGAAAGAACAGACAGAATTATATGACATTTTTTTCCACATTTTTCCAGCAAAAACATTGGTTACACTTTACAATAAGCTTCATTATTTAACCTTAGTCAACTCACATTAACTAATAAAGAGCAATACATTTGTTACAGTATTTATTAATTTTTGTTAAATAAAATATTGTTAGTTCATGTCTGGTTTGTTAAATAATATTAACAGACACAACTTTTGATTTTAAAAATGTATTAGTCAATGTTGAAATTAACATTAAGATTTATGAATGCTTTAGAAGAAGTTTTCACGGGTAGTTTATGTTAATTAATGTAGTTAACTAATGTTAACAAATGGAACCCTATTACCGAAACGTTTAATGTAACATTGTCCCTAAAACTGTTGTCTGCTTAATGATTTTTTTTCATTATTCAATATTAAGTGTTAAAACATTTGGCCAAATTTCTGATCAAATTATGGAGGGAGTCGCAAACCACTGGGGTAAGAGAAAGCATAAACGTAATATTGATGTTAGCTACCTGATTACCACCTTGACCATGGCAGCCAAACAGGGAAAGGTGAGCTCCTGTGGGGTTGTGGTCCGGGGCATTATAGTCCAGACATTCAGAGTGAACTCCAGCACTACGCACCTACACCAGGAACCAGAACATATGTAAAACCAGTGGAAAAAAAAAATAGAGAGAATGACATTAAAAGTATTTCGGAGGAAATTAGATTAGATTAAATTAGTCACTTACCGCTCCGTGCCAACCAGGCCTGTCCTCTGGCACATGCAGGCCGGGGTAGATGTTCTGCAGGTACCATTCAAAACTCTTACACTGAAGCCGCTTTCGCAGCACAATCCTTTCAGATATATCCCCATACGATTCCTACAGGAGCAAAGAAAAATCAGGCCTCAAGGCAAAGCTGACATTATTTAGTGGAAGTGTGGAACATATGTAAGACCGCCTTAACACTTTTTCTGCATTAATGAATTGTCATAGCACTCTAATTGTCTTGAATGTTATTAAAGCTAATGTGTGTTTGTTTGTTCTATTTTGCATGACAAGATTGACAACTTTGTTGACATTAACTTTGTTATACCTTATGCCGCGTTCACACTGCACGATTTCCAAAGACGTCGCATCACTGTTGGTTTCACACTGAACGACTATCTGGGGTAGCATTCAGTTGTGTTCACACTGCAACGATGGAACGACGACAGGAGGTTACACACTGCATGACTTTACAATAGGAAGAATCGCCGACAGCTCTTTCTGGTGCAGGGTTGCCAGGTTTTTGGTACAAAACTCACCCAATTACTACTCAAAACTAGCCTGAAAATAGCCCAATTGCTTTCGAGGGGGTCCCCCAGTAAAAATCGCGTTCGGGGGGTAAAATACACATTTTTTGGCGGGGTTCTCCTGGTACAATTCACATTCCAAGGCCTAAATATCACGTTATTGGGGTCACTTCAACCTGCTGACATAAAAAACAACCGGCGGCAATCGCAGATTTGGCAACACTGGTCCGCAAACTACGTTTCATATAACTCCTCCCCGAACTTCCCGCTGCCCTGTATCTTGGTCTCTCATTGGCTGTAGGTCATCGCCGATGTGTTTTTCAGTCAGAACTCATTTCACACAGCGTGATTGTGAATCCCCGACAGCTCCAGATATTTAGCATGCCAGATATTTCACGAGCGTCGGCGATTCCTTCAGATCGCGTCTTTGATAATTCACACTGCGTGATTGTCACTCGCGTGAACAAGCACCGATTAGCCTCCAATTTCGGGCATTTGTCGGCGATTTCGCAAAACCTGTCGGCGAGTGAAAAATCGGGCTAAAATCGTGCAGTGTGAACTCGGCATTAGTTGAAACTTCTTGGACGGCATTTCTACCAAACAGAATGCCACGTACATACTTCCTGTAATGTTGACACAAGGACTGCCACGACACACTTCCAACAAACCAAGTGTCAAAGAAACTCCACCAGGTAAATAAGATAATATTAATTTAGGCTTTTAAAGGGTGTGGTTGCATTCAGACCTGATGTACATGAACAACTCACTGCAGCCAAACAGAGAGGTCAAATATTCTTACCTGTGGCATCTGGTGTCGTGGCTACTAAAGAGTGATTTATTATTTGATCACAGCTCCGCGTCATTAATAATGTAAATTCTCTACGAAGTAATATGGAGTTACATGCCAGATTCATGTCAGCCAGGGTGATATAATATATGTTTGGCCTAGTTTTATTATCTTTGTCAGCTAATAAGCTTTTCAAAGACAGCCAAAGGAAGAACAAACACTGTAAACCGATAGAGCAGGAAGCATTCAAGCAAAACCTGAGCGTCATTCAGGAGTGCGTAAGCAATTTTAACAGCACTTTTCTAGATAAACGCTGAAGCAGTTAAATGAGGAAATAGCACAACAGCTGTACACCTAAGATTATGCAACGGCACAGGATATTAAAGAGGTGCCGCCCAATAACAGGTCACAGTGGATGGAGGTGTACCTTGCGTGCTGGAGGGTTTCGGTTGTAGAAGTGCTGCTTGTAAGAGTCCATCCAAACCTCTGCAGCACGGACAGTGTTCTGAAGGAAGCTGGATCGGGAGTACGGTGCTTTCTTGGGGAACACGTGACCCACGTGGGAGCATGGGTGAATTTCTAAAGACCCTCCACACTGCCACACCTGCAAGTAACAAAATATAGTTCAAAAAATGTACAAAATGTTTCAAATGAAGCAATAATCATGCAATAAAACTGTCATTTCATATAGCCAATCAAATCCTAAAAGAGATCAAAGTGAATTTTTGATTTAAAAGAAGACTAAGACATTGTAGGTCTTTTCTATTTTAACACAGAAGAAATATACTGAACAAATATTTGTAATAAAAAGTAAAAAAAAAAAAAAAAAAAAAAAAAAAAAAAGCAAATGGTGCTAAATGTTTATTACATAATACATATTATATTATTCATAATTATAATAAAAGTGACGTATATCATTTCTTTAACACTGGCGTCACAACAATAATAAATAAACATTAAAAATAATAAATATTTTATTTATAAATAATCGATTAGTAATTATAAATAATTCATGGAAAAAATAAATGTTATTTTCAAACAGGCTGCGTCGGGCTATCAACCTATAATCAACCTAAAGTTTGATTGACTTATTTATATTTCTGCATATTAAAATAGGACAGAAGAAAGTATTTTAACACTGAAAAAATGACACATTAGTTTTAAAATGAAAGCTAATAACAGCATTTTTCTAGAGCATCATCATGTATTTAATGAGATTCAACTCATCTTTTTGAACAAACTCTTTTCAGTGTACAAAGTTAGATCGTCTGAATTTATTGGAATGTTCAGAAATTAAACATGATGTGACAGCGCTTTAGATCTGCTAAGACACCAAAACAATAATCCTGTTTTATCCATTTTCCAGCTTTATTTCCCACATGCTTTTGTATACCAATTCACAGCACATCAATTATACATGAACATCATACGGCCCTGGTAGATACAGCATTGTATTCCGTTTCCATACGCATACAAGATTACTCCATGGTATAAACTATCAATCTTCATTTCTAGGTATAGGCTAAAAAAGAAATCCAATATGAGAGATGTGTCTAATTATAAACAGTGGCTCTCAGTCTCTCATGCTACCAAGAGCCCGTTGACACGCTCCGATGGTAAGCCTATGCAAATTACCAGTACAAAAGGTAACGTGAAAACAGAATACAGGAGTCTTACCCGGAAAGAAAGTTCCAGATTCTCTCCTCCCCAGACCTCCATTCCCATGTCGTAAGTGCCCAGATACTCAAAGTAGGCCTTGCTGACGGCAAATAGGCCCCCTGCCATTGTGGGAGACCTGTGAAACGAAAAGCGGCAGAGCATTGGCAATTCATCAAAGATATTCCCTAGCACCAATTTTCTAGCAGGTAAGTGCTTCTTAGTTTTCATTAAGCGCCTCTAGGGCTGCCCTCGGATGAGCCTGGAGAGAAATCTAGTGCAGAACTGGACAGTATTTGAAAGTACTCCTGGGTCTGAGCATTAAAATATAGTCTATTCACTGCACTGCAACTGAATTCAATTAACACAATATCACTGCAATTCTATTTCAGTCCATTTCCTTGTGAAAATAACTTTAAAAAGTTTTTCCTGGAAGGAAAAGACACCCAAATGTATTAAAGGAACAGTTATCTTATGTCATTCCAAAACCTTATGAATTTTATTTAGGAATGCTCCAAAATTAAAATTTTGGATAATTATTTATATAATTATTTTATGATCAAGCTATGGCTGACAACCGATAAATCACCAATATTAAATTACTATTTTGTCTAAATTAAAAAAAAAAAAACATTAAAATAATAAAATCAGTGAATTTAGACTTCACAACATTAGAATGTACAGTAAGAAGAATGGATATTCATTTCAAGATTTGCCAAAGGTAAATATTAACTTTAGGTGAGCACTGGATGACAGCAATCATCTAATTGTAAAAATAGACGAAATAAGAATGAACAAATAAATATCCAATACCATTCGATATAAATATCCAATATGGAGTGCTACATTAAAAAAATAATAATAATAAATAACAATAAAAAAATTTAAAAATTAAAAAAAAAATATATATATATATATATAAGTCTGTCAAACGATGAATCGTGATTAATTAATCACATGCAAAATAAGTTTTTATTTACATAATATATGGGTTTGTATTGTGTATATTTATTATGTATATATAAATGCACACACATGCACGTACATATTTAAGATGAATAGGTTCACGCGGGCCCTGCCCACATTGCAAGCGACTATAGTAATATAAATGAATAATGAACGTATTAATAATAAAATACAATTAGTACCGAGATTCTTCAAAGAACTGAATAAATATATAAATTCGCGCAAGTAGTGTGTGTAAGCTTTAGTGGTCTAGTGGTAGAACTTTTGTCAAGCATTTCCGAGGTTCTGGGTTCTAATCCACCCTCGTGTAGTTTTTTTTCTTCTCTCATTAAAACCAAAGGTGTTCATCAGTGATTGTATATCAAGAGCAAGGACATGTTTGTGTGCATTTTGTTTTGTGTTTTTACCAGAACAAAGCGTACGATCGTCTGTGTGAAGACTGCGCATTGTGCACGAGTGCAAAGAGAGAACTGATAACAGCAGCAACAAGACTCGCCATATTTAACACAGACCAACGAATCTGTTATCAAATGGAGAGGTTTCTTTAGGTACATCCGTGCGTGCCCCGAGATGTTGCAAAAAGTGGCGGGGGGTCGTGGGGACACACATCCCACCCGTAAATAAAAATATAACACAGAATGAATAGTCTTGTTTTATTTGTTCTATGTCATTTCTACGACTTTCCAAAAGAGGAGAAAAATATTGAGATTGACATGTCAAATTTGCCGTCACTCCCTCAAGCCGTTGTACAGAAACACCCTAGCAGCAGCGCTAATTCTTTTCTTTTTTTTGTCATTTATGTGGGGTCTCCTTGAGAGTGTATAGGCTATGTAATGTTAAAGTTTCATTTTTAATAAAAGTTAATTTAGAAAAACGTTTGGAGCATTTTTTATTCCTTAAATGTAAGTTTTTTTTTTAAGTAACGACCAAGCGGCCAGCGGCAGACTGTAAGCTTATCATAGCCTATGTTTGATCAATTTACCTGCCTACAATAAAATCTATAGATATAAAACAGTTCAAGCATATCACAATGTTAGTTTAAATGTTTAAACGATATAAATGTGCGCTATTAGGCGCATATCTAATCGTTTGTGTGAAGAGTGGAAGCTGAAGGCACTTTGCAGGACATGGAGGCGCCAGCGCGATCACTCACTTGCATTTTTTTCTTGATAGTGGAAACTTAAAATACGCCTAATTTTTGCTCATAAAGGTAAGAGTAATACATTCGGAAATGTAAAGGGTCTACTTTTATTTGTGTGCATTCACAATATCAACAAAACGTTGTGCTTTCATAAAATAAATAGGAAAACAGGGGATGCGCTTGCCGTCTTGTCTTGAACGAATTTTTAGACCTCTTTCTTATCTAGTCTCTTGCTTTTCGGAGAGGAATGCAGTTGCCGCGATTACTGGGTTACTCTGCTAAAAGTTAAAAAAAAAGTTTGCGGTAATTTCAGCACCACAGCGCTGAAACACTCAATGCTTCTGATAACCTTGCCTTCTGTGCTTTGCAAATACAATAGGTAACACATGCTGATGACTGTAAAATCTGATGACTGTCAACACGATTAATTTGGTACTTCTGGCTGCTGCGGCCAGGCACACGCACAGCCGTGTGTGTTAGAGAGAGACGCATGCAAAGACATGCTGATGACTGTAAAATTCAACACGATTAATTTGGTACTTCTGGCTGCTGCGTCCAGGCGCACGCACAACCGCACAGCCGTGTGTGTTAGAGAGAGACGCACGCAAAGAGTTTCAATTTGAGTTTCGATGTTCAATTTAATATAAGAAACTGATAAGATACTGATTTTAGTTGGTCTAAATTAAGTAGGTTAGGCACAAATTTGCATATATGGGTTCCCTTCTAGACACGAGCGCTGTGTGTTTGTATGTGCTTCATAACCGTGCACCCCAGGGGGCCCGTTGTAATAGCCTGCACTGGGGCCCGTCATTACGAAGTTACGCCACTGGTGTGTACTGCCGAATGTCCAGCAATTCGTCTCTGGTGAAACTGATTGCAGGGATATAACTAAAGACAGGACAAACTAACAAAAACATAAAAACAACTGCGAAGCACGCCACGGAGGCAGCCATCACCGTCGGCGCCATCTTCGCCATATATTGATATAAATAATAATAGTGTAAAATACAGTCATTTTGTCCGATTTCTCCTTTTTTTGTTCCACAGAATAACAGAATTGAAACAACATACTGGTGAGTATGACTATCCCTTTAAACATTTCTAATCTGTTTCTTAAATTTCCAAGAAAACCACACTGGATTTGGACAAGTTGACTAGAAACCAACCTAATGGGGTCAATTCTGGATTTGCGTATCTTGCGATCCATTTCAGGCACGGCATGCCACTGGAAAAAAAAAAAAAAAAAAAGAACATTACACTTTACAAACTTGTTGCTGTGGATTATGGGAGTGTTTCTATGTTAGAATTGAATTTAGTAAAAAAAAAATTTTTTTTTAAAAGTCACACCTTTCCAGCAGTGGCTCGATCCAGCCAGGCACACACTCACAGTGGCAGTCAAGGAAAGTGAGCACGTGTCCTGTAGCGTAGGTGGCGCCAATGAGCCGGGCTCGTACCAGACCTTCTCTTTTTTTGGTGCGAATGAGACGAACACGCTCCAGGTTACTGACATACTGAGCCAGCTGTGACTTCAGATAGCCTGTAATTCATGCAAAAGAAAAAGTGAAACTTTTTATCAGGATCCAACAGATAATGGCAAAGCACAGGAAAACAACTGATTTACTAGAGATGTCCGGATTGAGTTTTTATTTCAACAAATGTAAGAACCGATATGGAATAATATCTATAGCTAACTTACTGTCCAGAGCTTTGCCGATGATATGTAATAAAATATGCAAACACGGGCAAATGTGTGAGCATTTTTCAATGCAAATACTGACAAGTTTGTATTTGGTTGTATTTAAATGAAATAAATATTTACAAATCAGCTTCACAGGCTGATTACATTAAAGATAGAGATTCAACATTTAACAAACAATATAATAGATAAAACATTTTTTATCAAATTCAAAAGAAAAGAAACACCCAGAAACACTTTTACATATAAAACTCTATAAAAAATCATTAAACGTAGTTGTGATAAAAATTGTAAACGTTTTTCTGGGTCCATCGTACAAAATTTGTCATTTAAGTTTGTTAATCTTTTAAAAGTAAATCAACATTATATAAAAGTAATATTAAACGTAATATGGTTTTGTTATTCATCTGTATTCATTCATCAGTATGAACCTAATAGACTCAATATCTTCCCTTGCTTCCAAAAAAATGATTTGCATGTTAATTGGTTGTGGCAAAGCTGACCAATCAGGATAAGACAAATCCTCTAGGATGGAAAAGGCTTTAAATTAGTCTGGTGGAATTATACATTTCTGTGAAAACTGCCTAGAAAGCGTCCCCTCACCTCTGTCGCTAAAGTCATCCACAAGTATGACCTCTTTCAGTAGGACGGCTGGTGTCGTTTCCAGCACACTATGGATGGTTCTGAGTAAAGTGGACCAGGCCTCATTGTAAAACGCTATTACCACTGATGTTGTAGGCAGACGACGGCTGTTGTACTTCTTAGCTTTGCATCTAGCATTAAAAAAAGAGAACTAATCAGACGGTTAAGCAAATTGGCATGTATTCAAAACATGTGGTTTAGACAAACAGCTTCCTGTGTTCCACACTACACATAATAGCGTGCAAATGAGAACATCTAAAACATAGAGGAACCTGACAACGCTGTGAAACTGACACCATATGCTCATCCTGCAGTATTCTGAATGACTGCTTATAATGTTTCAGATGACAATTATTAATTATTATGGAATGAAGAAGGAATAAAAAAGATGCATGTGGAGTCTATTAATAAATGTCATATTCAATTCATAAAACAAGACAGTTTTGTCCTCTGTTCTTTGATCTTCATTCCTCAAATCCAAAATCTGTAAATGACAATTTCTGGTTCATAGACAGATTCTCTGTAAACAGTGTTGAATGAGAGGTGGGAGATGAACAGACATGCCAGAGATGTTTTTACAGCATTCTGAGAAACCGTTTTAGACCCTTTAAGGACAGTGAACTGTACTTTGAAATTGCAGGTACTCATCATTTAATGTACACTACCATTCAAATTTGAAAGACATTAATACTTTTATTCAGCAAGGATGCATTGAATTGATCAAACGTCACAGTTAAAACATTTATGTTACAAAAGATCAAAAGATTACTATTTCAAACAAATGCTGTTCTTTTGAACTTTCTATTCACCAAAAAAAATAAAATTACATTTTCACAGTTTCCACAAAAATATTATGTTTCTTGAGCACCAAACCAGCCTATCAGAATGATTTCTGAATGATCATGTGAAACTGACTAGAATAATAGCTGTTGAAATTCATCTTACAATAAAACATTATTCTTCAAATACATTTTCAAAAAAATATATTTTTAAATTGTAATATTTCACAAAATTACTGTTTTTACAGTATTTTTCATCAAATAAATGCAGCCTTAAGAGTATAAGTGACTTGTGATTTATACTACAATGAAGCTATTTTACCAAACATACAACCAATAAAATTAGAAAAAAAAATGATATAACTGATAGTTTCAGCAGGGATTCTGAATAAAGTCAGTCATTATGTTCCTCACCACAAATATTTAGAGACTCTACATTCACTGACAGCAACTACATTTGAGCAAATGTTCAATAATTATCCCTACAAAGAGAAGAAAAAAATCCACAGCATAACATTTCTGGCAATAATGCTTAAGTCTTTGACAAGAACTAACTTGCCTGAAAGTTATTTCAGAAAGCAAGCAAAAGAACTTCACATCAACAGATAAAATCCCTGCCAATGCCAAGAAATGTGCTACTGCTGTGTGTGATCTCCAGAAGAGCCTGTGATGTGGCAACCGGAGCGCAGTTGAAACACTGTGGGGGCCGGGGGCGGGGGGAAGCATCCAATTTGTTTCACTTCTCGTCTTCCAAGGGGACACTTTCTCTTTTCAGAGCAGCAGCTTGAACCCTACTCATTTTTGTGTGACAAGAGCCATGAAACAATTATTCTCATACAAAAGCACTGCTGTTCTGAGAAACCCTCCCAGCTCTGTTTTCTATTGTTGTTGGTTTTTCAATCATGTTGTCTGGCTGCAGGCAATGGGTTCATTTCAGACAACAGACAACATCTGTAAACAGGTGAGGTGGACTGAAGTGTAGAAATCACCTAAGGGAATCACTATTCAGAACATCATTTTAATTCTTCACAAAGTGAAAAAGCACCTTTCTTGCTTATTTTTCATGTTTATTGTAATGCAGTATAACAGCATTTATTTTTCTCTGTAAACATCACTGCAATAGCAAGAACAGAGAATTTTCTCGAGAAAATGTGAGTTGTTGCTCTTGGTTGCCAAGACTTTGCTATACAGACACGTGTTGTTGTGCGGTTGCTAGGGTGTTCTGGGTGGTTGCTAAGGTGTTGCTAGGTGGTTGTCAGGGCTTTTCTATACAGTTACTAAGGTGTTCACAGTGTTTTCTTAGTGTATTGCTATACATTTATGTTCTATGACTGCCAAGATGTTGCTAAGTGGTTGCTAGGGTGTTCTGGGTGGTTGCTAAAGAGTTGCTAGGTGGTTGTCAGGGCTTTTCTATACAGTTACTAAGGTGTTCACAGTGTTTTCTTAGTGCATTGCTATACATTTGTGTTCTATGACTGCCAAGATGTTGCTAAGTGGTTGCTAGGGTGTTCTAGGTGGTTGCTAAAGCATTGCTAGGTAGTTGTCAGGGCTTTTCTATACAGTTACTAAGGTGTTCACAGTGTTGTATGTGTAGAATAGCATGTTGCTATGCAGTTTCTAGAGTGTTCTATGATTGCCAAAATGTTGCTAGGTAGTTTCCAGGGATTTAATATAGAGTAACTAAAAATCATGTTGTTTTGCTGTTGCTATGGTGTTCAGGATGGTTGCTATGGCTTTGTTAGGTGGTTGTCAGGCCTTTTCTAATTACTAAGGTGTTCAGAATGTTTTTAGCATGTTGCTATATAGTTTCTGGGATGTTCTGAATGGTTGCTAAACCATTGCTAGGTGGTTGCCAGGGATGCAATACAGTTACAGCTACATACTGCTGTGTGGTTGGTAAGGTGTTCTGGGTGGTTACTATGTGCTTTGCTATAGTTATTGAGGTGTTCTGAATTGTTAGAATTTTGCTATGCAGTTGCTAATTGTTCTGAATGGTTGCTAAGGCATTGCTAGGTGGTTGCCAGGGTTTTAATATACAGTTACTAAGAAGCATGTTGCTGTACGTTTAGTAGGGTGTACAGGATGGTTGCTATGGCTTTGCTAGATGGTTGCCAGGGCTTTGTTCTGAATTGTTTCCAAGATGTTGCTAGGTGGTTGCCAGGGCTTTAATATACAGTTACTAAGAGGCATGTTGCTGTGCGATTGCTAGGATGTTCAGAATGGTTGCTATGGCTTTGCTAGGTGGTTGCCAGGGCTTTGCTATCGAGTTACTAAGGTGCATTTTGCTGTGTGGTTGCTAGAGTATTCTGGCTGGTTGCTAGATGGTTGCCAGGGCTTTGCTATACAGTTACTAAGGTGCTCAAAGTGTTTTTCACAAGTGTTTTGTTTCTCTGTGTTTGCTAGGGTGTTCTCTGGTTGCTAAGTAGTTGTCAGGACACTTGCTTTACAGTTACTACAGTGTATTTAGCATATTACTATGTGATTTCTAAGGTGTTGCCAGGTGGTAGGGTGTGTAATGAGCCCATCAGTGTGAGGTAAGGTGTGACAGACATACTCATGCATCCTGTTGTCTTGAATATGGCGATGGAGAGATATCTTGTCACTGATGAAAATATTGATTGCATAGCGCTCAATGCTGGCCTCCTCCTCTTTCTTCTCCTCAGGGCTGAGGGTCAATCGAGTGGCTCGGCCATATTCTCCAGGAGCACTGGGGTCTGGCGTTTGCTTCTCATAAACGGGCCGCAGGAGGCTGTCAGAGTCCACCACCTTAATGGACGGAAGGTCACGGACCAGGATGTCATGTTGACCATCTTTATCAGGAAGAGATTGAGGGGACGAACGAACTAGAAGAAGGTAGAAGAGCCACAGCAGAGAAAAGAGGAAGCAGACCTTGGCCAGGAAAGCCACCTTCCTCGACCAGCGGATCTTCATGACCTGGCAGCCAGCACCAACAACAGCACCAGTCAAAGAGCCCCAGACTCCCAACTTACTGAAGGATGAGAGAGGAAGAGAAGTGCAGATTAGTGATAGACTGATACATAGGCCAGACTGATCTACTGACAGCCTTGTCAATGAATATTTCACTGTTTCTGTTTATGAAAATAAGCAGAAAATGAGTAAATTGACATGTTTAACTGAAAAATAATGCCATGTCAGATTATGCAATGGGCTTCTTCCTTGTAGGACCACCTGGGTCACTGATGCTTATTTATTGGCTTTTATTAATAGAAGTAAATTCTTGAAAGGAAAGCATAATCCGTTATTAATATTTATTGAGAAAAAGAGTGTTTCTGTTAAAATATTATTAGAATTTTTTTCTGCCAAATTAGTCCTGCAGTTTACCTTTCTTATTCTTGGACAAATTTTCTTTTTTCTTTTTCTTTCTTTTTTTGAAAGAAATTACTTTCATTCAGCAAGGATGCATTAAATCCCACCTTCAATACCACGACTGAGGTGCCCTTGAGCAAGGCACCGAACCCCCAACTGCTCCCCGGGCGCCGCAGCATAAATGGCTGCCCACTGCTCCGGGTGTGTGTTCACAGTGTGTGTGTGTTCACTGCTGTGTGTGTGATTCCTAGTATGGGTCACCATACTTGGCCACATGTCACGTCACTTTAAATTCATCAAAAGTAATAGTAAAGCCATTTACAATGTTACAAAAGATTTTTGTTTTAAATAAATACTGTTCTGCTGAACTTTCTATTCATCAATGTATTAGGGCTGGGCGATTGGCATCGGACGATGTCTACAGTGAAACATTGCGATGGACAATGACATCGGGGGCGGGGGGGTTGAGTTAGGGGGTGTGCCCGAAGTGTGAATCCGTATTCAGAAAACAATTGCTAACGGTTGCCTGTTACATTACAGTACATAAAATTTCACTTACCACATAAACAGAGAAAGGAGAGATGACTGAGGACGATGGCGAATGATTTGCAGATCCTCAGCACCACTGACAAACATCTAATCTTGTAAAATGTGTTGTAAGTACTGCCACTCCATGGTATAAACAGAATACGTGCGATCGCAAATCTCGAAAGTGAAAGTGAAACTAAAAGGCGATCTTGCATTCAAAAGCAGTTTCAATGTCAGGCATAATAGCGGCTCCCTGATGTCCGCAATCTATATACAGTATAATTACCCAATGATATAACTGCGAGAGAAATTATTAAAATATGTATTTTCCTCCCATCGCGTATTTATTCCCTTTAGGGGTTCCGTATTACACGTCATTTTCTTTCCGAACACGGTATTGGGATGCGGCGATGGCATCGTCTATCGGCCCAACCCTACAATGTATCCTGAAAAAAATGTATCATGGTTTCCAGAAAAGCATTAAGCAGCACAAGTGTTTTCAACATTAATAATAACACTACCACTTAGAGGTTTAACACTTAAACCTCTAACACTTGCAATCTCGATTCTATTTCTATTCTTACTACTTGTTTTCTTTAAAAAAAGGAGAGCCTCTAACATTCTCTAGTCTTTTTCTATTCTATCTTCTTGTTTTCTTTTTTTTTTTTTTAAATGACCCTCTTAACACTAGCATTCTCTATACTTTTTCTATTCTTTTGACTTATTTTACTTTTATTATTAAAAAAAGAAGAAGAAAAACCCTCTAACACTAGCGCTCCCTATTCTTTTTCTATTCTATCTACTTGTTTTCTTTTTATTTATTATAAAAAAAACCTTGCTACGTGTACTGCATTAGGCTAACCGAGACTTGTCACAGCACTTACATATTATTGCCCTTATGTTGGTTTTGATTGCTTCTATTGTCCTCATTTGTAAGTCGCTTTGGATAAAAGCGTCTGCTAAATGACTAAATGTAAATGTAAATGTAAATCAGCATTTTAGAAGGATTTCTGAAGGATCATGTGACACTGAAGACTGGAGTAATGATGCTTAAAATTCAGCTTTGCCATCACAGAAATTACAATTTGAAATATATTCAAATGCAAAACAGTTATTTTAAATTGCAATATTTACTCTATTTTTGATCATATAAATGCAGCCTTGGTGCGCAGAAGAGGCTTCTTTCAAAAAACTTTATATATAATTCACCTATTATTTCCTCACCTATACTGTATGTAAATTAGGGATGTCAATTTTCGATCGTTCCCATGATCGATCGTCATTTAAATTAATGATCGATTAATTGATTAATCATTAACCTTAATACTGCAAAATGCATCTATTGCACTGGCATATAGTCACCAGCATTAAAGGATGTGCAAATGCTTCTCAAAACACCAGCCTCCTCACTTGAACGAAAGGGTTTTTTAGTCTAAATAAAAGGTTAGTAGTAGGATAGTAAAATGTAGTGATGTGATTATGATTATTTGATAAAATAAAGAGAGTGCACCGTAGTTACATTTGGGTTCATTTTACTATAAATGCAGGTTATTGTTGGCTGTTTCATAACTAGGGCTGTCGCGATAACCGCAATATCGCAATACCGCGCTATTGACGAGCAAACCGCAGAGGAATGCAAGAACCGCAGCAACCGCGATTTTTGCGTGTTTTCTTTTTTCGTAAGGTTATGCCCTTCTCGTTTTACACTTCATGCAAGTGGACTGAATATTAAACAAGTTAGTAATGATAACATAATGTGTACCATGCTGATTTGTACAGATGCTCCGTAGATTTGCAATTAACAAGCCTAAACAGACAGTGAATGAGAGAGAGATCGACTGAGCGCATGCGATTACTTGCGTATGTCCTCCAGGCCAAGTCATATATATTTGTGAAAATAGGTTGTCATGTCCAAAGGAAAGCGAAATCTCTGTCTTAGCATGGACGCATAGCTGGTCAGCTGAGCCTTCTAAAGTGGCGCTCAAAGTTAAAATGATTTCAACAGCGTGTTTCATTAAGTCTCTTTGAATGAATGAATCAGTGTTTTTGAACGTGTAGTTGAATGACAGTCCCTTTCCACCACCTTGTGTATGGCGATAATACCGCATACCGCGCTATTGAGCCACTCAAAATTACCGCAAGGGAAATTCCCTCACCACGACAGCCCTATTCATAACCTGTCACAGAGACCGCTGAATGTGACTTTTTAAATGGTTTCATGGTGCTTGTTGTTTTATTTTAAAACACAATCGCAATGTTTGCAATTGACATTACCACCATTTAAAATAAAATGATCCCAAACGTAACTACAGCACATGGGGCCATGCCAGCGCTCAGTGAACCTCTTCTTCCACAGGCAGTGCTATGGCAAAACACAGTTGCTCATATGAAACCTTTTTATGTGAATATAATGACACAAGTGAGGTACAAAGCTTTGTTTATAAGAGACATAACTGGTTAGAAGGCAAATGTTACATCGCAACCATGCTTTTGGATTCATGCCATTTAAGAGGTAGCTTATGAGGGCATAAATTTAAATTAACCCATTAACCCTTTGAGTTTTGTTTTACGGGTTGGTCACGACTCACGAATTTCCACAAATGTAATAATATTTATTGTTTCTTTTCCCAAATCCTCACCTTCTCACCCTCTAATTTCGCAGTTTTATTTTATTGTCAATCCCTGTTTTCCATCTCTTACTGTGGTAAAAAAATAAAAATAAAATTTAGACTATATCCTTTTTACTTGCCAAAACGACAGATAGCACTGTTAGCCTAAACTAATCTATTTACTTTATAGAAATCTCATGGGTTTTGAAGCTCATGAAGCAATGACTTCATATTCATTCAAAAGGTACGCCCTTTCTATCTTCCTCGTGAATTCCCTCAGTTGTTTTTTGTAGTAGTATACATTCATCCACGTGCCAAGACTGATATGGCATTTGAAACTGTCAAAAATGTCCTGGATAAACTGGATAGGAAACAAAGGGTTAGAGTTAATGTGGTCTTATCGGACATGTTAAATATTTCTATAGGTTCACCACAAGGCTGTGTACTTTCTCCTGTTCTATTCATATTGTATACAAATGATTGTCAGAGTTTGTACAATAATAGTTATTTGGTCAAATATGCAGACGACACTGTGCTTCTGTCTTTGCTGTCATATCCAGATCAGGAATATGGTCTGGTTTTGGATGATTTTATTTTATGGTGTAACAGGTTGAAATTAGATTTGAATGTGTCAAAAACGAAAGAGATGATCATCAATTTTAGTAGGAAAACACTTGCACCTCAAAGGGTGGTCATTAATGACACACAGGTTCATGTAGTGGAGGAATACAAGTATTTAGGAACGATTATTGATAATAGGCTGAAGTTTGATCAAAACACAGATGCAATCATTAAAAAGTCAAATCAAAGATTGTTTGTGCTGAGGAAGCTAAATTCCTTTAATGTACAGAGAGTCATTCTCAGGACTTTTTATAATTCATTTGTTGAAAGTATATTGTCCTTTTCCTTTATTTGTTGGTTTTCCTTATCGTCTACAAAGAACAAAAATCGTTTGCAAGGTATTGTTAATATGTGCTCAAAAATTTTAGGTGTTCCCTTGCGAAGTCTTACATTTTATTATGAACAGCAAGTGATGAGGATGGCACATAAAATTATAGGAGACTGCACACACCCTTTCAATCATTATTTTGAGTGGATGCCCCTTGGGCGACGTTTAAGGTCAATTAGATGTTCCACAAACCGGTACAAATTTACTTTTGTGCCTGAAGCAATACGTTTATGTAATAAATCTAATTGATTTAGATGATTTATTTAATTAATTATTATTTTTATTTTTTTTATTTACATTTGTTTCCCCCTTTTTATGTATTTGGTGTATTTTAAATATATGTATGTGAGTGTTGTATATGTGAAGCACCATGAAAGTCTGAATTAATTGCCCCAAGGGGATTAATAAAGCTCTAAACTAAACTAAAATGAATAGCAACAACAAAAAAAGTAACAGAATTACTCAGATGTACCATTTCTACTTTAGTTTTGAATGAAGGCTCATGCTAACCGCCACCTCCAATCACTGAAGCTGAATTTGAGGGGTTGAATACAGACAATCCATCATCAGCTGAGGGTAACAGAGTAATCACATAATTGAGCTGCATTAATATTTCAGCAGGCAGGGATTTAGCTGAACAGTGGTCGTGACAGACAGAACGTCTGAGACAGTAATCCCATTCCTCAATCACAACACTTCAACCTTTTAACCCCATTGAATGATGAATGTCGCTTACGCACACATATATATGCAACAAACCCTTACACTAAATAATCTAAATGGACCATTAATGCACTTCAAATATTTGGGAGATTGTGGTTAAAATGTTTGGCAGCATGACAGCTGATGGCTTTATTCTCTATGAACGTGGGCAAGAGCAAGTGAAAAGAGGGGAATAGATCTATGAATACAAACTCAGAACAATCTGAGAAGATCCAACCAGATGCTATAAATACCTGTTGGCTTGTTTTAAATTGCTTTCACTACTCTTTAAAAAATAGTAACACACGTATAGGTTTAACTGTACACTTTATGTTGAAACCATATGTCTGGTATGAAACATCTACTCATAAAAATGTTCCAAAACTTTGTCAGAAATATAACCATTTATTTTTTAATTTTAGTAAACTAATTCTATGCATCAGTATATGAGAAATTATATATAGAACTAATACAGTGTATTTCTTATACACATTTTTGACCCACAAAAGTGAGGCCCCAAAAGTGTTTCAACACTTAAGCCACACATAAAAGTGTATATTTTAACAAAGTATATTTTTCATTTATTTACTTATAAATATTAATATGTATATATTCAAGACTGCTGCATCAAATTATGTTTTCATCCTTTATGGTATCAGGTAGACCTGTCGCAATAATCAATATATCGACTTATCGCGCAATATATGTACATGACCTCAATCATTTTTGGTGACGCAATATATCGCACATTATATTTACTTAAAAATTTATGTGACCATGTTTTTTACATTCCACGTGCGCCTGTGTCTTTTATCAAGATATGTAAAAGAGATATGTAAAATATCTATCAAATATGTAAAAGAGATATGTAAAATATCTATCAAAAATATGTAAAATAGCTTTATTAAAGAGTGTTTTCTTTTGCTGCTTAGATCTTTGGAAAATGTAGCTGCCCCTTTCCAAAAGACTGGTCACAAGCCAAGGGACAAAAGCTTTCTGGGCTTACAAAATAGAGAGCTCTTTGAAAGCAACCCTTGACTGGGCACCCATAAAAACTTCCGTATTAAACCTGATAGGTTGGATGGATGTGGGAAAGCTCAGGAACTTCAGCTCTTCAGGCTTGAGAAACTTGAGTATCACCTTTGTGGCATTATTACCTTTAAATTATTAGGTTCAAAAAGTGGCTTTGTGCACAAAGGTGTTTGAAAACAACAGTGTTATGTCTTTTGAAACTCGGTTTACCTTCTTCTACAATACACAAAAGGAGAAATTCATTCAGTGAATAGTGACCCCAGCTGTCAAGACAAGATTTTCAGTGGATAATGATTTAAATTTCATACTTGATACTTAAAAACTTTCATTGTGTGGCAGAGAGAAGCTCAGACATTCTGCTAAACTTCTCTTTTTGTGTTCCACAGAGAAAGGGAAGACATAAAGGTTTTGAACAGCGTGAGGATGAGTAAATGATGACATAATAGTAATTTGTGTGCTGTATTAATAAGCAGGAGGAAATGAGAGAGCCAGAACTGTGTGTACAGTCATCCAGGGAGAGTTTAGTCAGAACATTGTCATAATGCTGTTTACAGTAAGATGGATGTTGTTGCTGCTACATGTGGATCAGAAGTCAGAACATCTGTGTATTAGACAACAGCTGTGTTACAGTTCCTGCTAAAAGAAATAATTGCTCTCACTGAACATTTCCAAATGGACTTAATTTAGGTGAATACCAGCCCAGATTGTCTGAAACATCCAGATTTACTTGTCTGACAAGTGTTCTCGTTTGCAGCTCGTTCCCTTTCATTTGTCTGATTTTTTTTTTCAAAGCATGTCCCACAACTTTACTTGCCACATCCACTTTGAAATGAATGTGATAATCACTAGCTTGTTCTTAACACGAATGTCGCATTTCCTTCTATTTTCTCTTTATCAAAATTTGACATCACATTTTTGCTCATTCCCCCTAAAACCACTTGTCCTCAAACCATAACATAGTTACATACTGACATAATATATAGATTAAAATATATTAAATTTATGAAAAACAGAAAATAAAAATTCTTTATACTTTTATATTTACTTTATATTTATTTATTATGTAAATATTTTCTGTTTCACATCCATATGTCAATTCATCCCACAATCTGTAAATATACAGTGTGGACTTTTTTTTTTTTAAATAATATTAAAAAAATTATATGTAGTAGCCTATATTATTTTACCCTCCTGAAAACAACATCTTAAAACCAGCCAAGGATGGTTCGTTGGTCTTAGCTGGGTAAAGCTGTCAACCCAGCCTGGCTGAACTGGTACTCAACTGGTTTATCTGGTTTATACAAGAAAAACACATTTTGTGAGAAAATGGGAAAAGCAGAAGATTAATAGTGGAAAATTCCAAAGTAATAAGCAGAAGTGCCAAATAAGTACTGAATTTTGACTCTCTCAACACCATTCGCATTAACAGACAAGACGCGCTCAAGAACAAACCAAAGTACCAAGAAGAGAACTGAAAACATGGTGGTACCATGATGCATGTACCACGATAGAGCAATGCCATTCTTTAGAGAAGCTTGAATTAGTATGCATATGATAACCATTCAAAAGCATGATATACATCGAAGCACTAGGCTATGTATTACTATCACTATACCATATGTATACATTTTCAAGACAAACACACTGTAATCTGAGATCTAGATCTTTTCGTAAAGATGCAGTAGAAGTACATGACATCATAAAACTATTAATAAGTAGGCTAACTCGAAACATATGAAATGTACAGTATGAACTGAAGATCAATACAACTGAGTAGTGACTTTCTGAGTAAAAACACGCGTGAATGGATCTCGAGCCATCAAAACAACCATCGAATGTAATGTTTCAGACTGACGGCTCGTTAACATGCATGCAAAACAACTTTATATCGCTCGCGCGCGCGCGCGCGCGCACACACACACACACACACACACACAAGACACTCGTGTAACTAAATCCTTGATGATCTTACCTGATCTCTTCATGGCGTGCTCTTACTCAGATATAAGGAGCTGCTGATTTGCCGCTCGTGCCGCTGTCAGCACACACACATTCTCCTCAAACAATAAACCGCTCTACTCCACACCACTTCTCGCGCTGATCTCAATAAGTAGCTTGACTCTTTACAAACGCGCGATTCTTTGACGAGTTACATGGCTTAAGTAAATGTCACGGACTTGCATGTACTGCTGCATCGCACCCCAGGAAGTTTCAGATTTGACAGTCTAGCTTCATAAAGTGAGCCACGTGACTGGAGCATTATGGGAAGTCTGGGAGTTCAATGTGCGTGTATTACAGCTGCACACTCAAAAGCCTCTGTGTGTTAATATTCACACTGTGATTCCGAAGATTTTCCTAATAAAAACGAATGATTTGTTTTTATTTTTTTTGAGATTATATATATATATATATATATAGTACATTTATGCAATTGTTTGTTTGTTTGTTTGTTTCTGCTTGTCCAGTCATGCGATTTTTTATTTTTTTATTTTGGAGAATGAACCATTATTTATTTGTTTGTTTTTCCAGTCATGCAATTTTGGTGGAAATCAAACATTGTTTGTTGGTTTTTTTGTTTGTTTTTCCAATCATGCATCTTATTTAATTATTTAGGCTATTGAGAATCACCCATTATTTACTTATTTGTTTTTGTTTGTTTGTCCAATTATGCAACTTCATTATATTTTTGAGAATCCACAATTTTTACTACATCTTTAATATAAACAAAAATTTCTATATTATATTCTTTGAGAATCAACCATTATTTGTTTGTTTGTATATCCAATCATGTTTCTGGGAATCAACCATTAATTGTTTGTTTGTTTGTTTGTTTGCATGTTTGTCCAACTGAGCAATTTTATTATTTTCTGAGAATCAACCATTATTTGTTTGTTTGTTTGTTTGTTTGTTTGTTTGTTTATCCAACTGTGCAATTTTATTTTTTGAGAATCAACTAAATTAGTAGAATCTTTACTAAAATACTTTGCAATACATCGCTACATTATAAAATGTGCAGCAGATCATTAGTTAGAAAATTAATATGTTTTATGATTGATCGTCCTTTAAATATCAGGATATATCAGATCATATTTTTTTATTTATCTGACATCATATAGTGGTCATGAAGCTTTAACATCTAATCAATTTCAATGAACACATGGAAAACCACAGATGAAAATGCTCTTACAAAACCTCAGCCTAAAAAAAAAAAATGTAAAAAATATTTGAAAGACTGTTTTTTTAAAGAGAAAATTTATGAAGAGAATTTACAAATCACTAGCTTGCCAAAGGAATACTGCAGGTTCTTATTATTAAAAGGTCTAAATGACACATAATTATAATCAATTGTAATCTTGGCATTGAAGGTTTTGTTGTTGCAAGATGCCCAGAATATGCGTAAGATGTTGTAATTCTTCAGATATTGACTCAACAACGCCCTCAACTTGCAGAGAACCTCCCATTCTGCAACGTGGCCAGACTTTTATGTTCAAGGTTAGACTGTAAACGACCCTCTGTGTCTGGACACAATAGGGTTAAAGGTGCCATATTGTCAAAACTGAAATGTCCTGGCTTTTCCTCGGCAGGGGAGGCACAGCTTCCCCATAATTTTGAGGTGACAAGATGATATTTTAAGCTCCTTATGTAGACGAATCTGCGCTGGTTTGAATAGGCCGCCTCCAGTTTCCCCTTTGTTTTGCTGCCTCCAGCTAGCGCTGTGACGTCGGCTGACCCTAGTTACCTGTGGTTGGCCTGGCCATGCGTCACTCAGAAAACAACAGACCAATCAGAAGAGAGGCTCATGAATATTAATTAGACAGGCCAAAATCGACCTGTTCTCAGCAGAGCTCCTGAGAGAGGAGCTGTAAAAATATATTGAAATGTTTTTTGGTACTTATACCGCAAATATATATTCTTAAGGACATCAAAACCTAAAATAAAACTCCAGAAAGGTGTACAATATAGGACCTTTAAGTGTGCTTCATTATTACCTTTCTGCTGTACAGGAGAACCAGGTATATCTGGGTCGGTCCTGATGTAAATCTGCACACAAGCCACAATCCTATTACTATTGTTACTACCAACAAATGTAAATATACTAAATACAATATATTGAACAGCTTAAGCCCAAAGCAGACGCATGTAGGCAAATATTTCATTTAGTCATTCATTTCCATGACACATCATGTTGTGTGGTCACCATGAAATAACCACTGTCTGTAATGTCAGTTTTTCTTTGCACATGATCACTACTACTGCAATATGTAGATCAAAAGTAATTATTGACAACGACGGAACGTGAACTGCATGCTGGCCGGTGTAGAGCTGCATGTTGAACAGAAAGCTGAGCCGCACTGCCCTGCCAATGCACTGCATGACTCTTGTCTGAAACATTTATGCTCATTCTCATCTGTCTATCAAACTAAGAACTATGTCTCAGATAGTTTTATATGCTACATAATTTAAATGGACACCAAGACACTACATTTATAGCCAAGATGTTGCCACTATAATTTATTTAAACAACCACGTACAATGTTTTTTTTATAACATAATACTGTAAAAATCATCTTCTTAATTAGCATTTTTTCTTGTTTACCAGTAAAAATTGATATTTGTTATTTTCTTCTAAATGTTTAGGCACTCATTTTAGAGTGTTTAGTTAGATTTATGAGGCCAGTGTAATTGAAGATTCTCAGAAAATGAGTATTTCTCAAAAAAATTACTTAAAACTCTTAGGTTTTTACTGGAAAACTAGTAAAACATTTTTATATTATACTTCATATTTTATTTTATTTATTATTTTTGCAGTGCAAGATTGAGAACTGTGTGTAAAGAGAATATATTTGACTGGAAAAAAGTAAAACATTTTTATTTTATTTTATTTTTTGCAGTACATCATCAAGATCTGTATGTAAAGAGAAGATATTATCACTGAAAAAGAAGTACAAATATTTGTATTGTATTTTAACAATAAAAATTAACAATTTGTTTTTTTCTGCAGTGCAAGATCAATAGGTGTGTGTAAAGAGAACTTTGGTGTCTCTCATGTATGACAATGCCCTTACAGTGACAAGGCAACTGTAAGATCCTTATATTTAATGAACTGTGACATTTCTGTACACATTCTACACCCTGTTTGTTTTCTTTGGAAAGGATTGGCGTGTCCTTCCCATCATGTCCTGCTAGTGCCGGACTCCATCTGTTGCTTGTGAAGCATGACAGCTGTTAAAGACACAACCCTTCATTTCAGAGCTGCAGTGTGAATGAGCACTAAAGAAAACACCACATGAAATGAGTTTTTGCTTCAAAGTAACAAATTTACAATCACAGATGCAGCTGAACAGTTGAGTAACTGTCAACTATCACATCCCAAACATTCTAAGAATCACATATTATCTGATTTTAACCCCCTCTAACTCAAAATACAAAACTAATGTCTACATATGTAATTATTATTGTGGTCTTATAATGCAGGTCTGCAGATATATTGCATGTTCAGTATTACCAGCCCTTTTCAGTTTTCACTTTAGGATTTTGGATTGCACCTTGAGGTTTAGTGTTTACCAAGAACTTGTAGAGCTTGATATTTTGCCAGTTGTGTTGCAGTCTTTTCCATGCCAAAACCAATTGATTTTCCTTTTTGGTCTCGGGGGAACTTGTTGCAAGAGAAGGAGTTCTATTTCCATGATAAGATCTCCAGCAACCTTTACTAGATAGGCGCACACATTGTACAGTATGTGTCTTACATTACCGCTTTTCTTCAGTGCAACTTAATAAACCTGCGCAAAGTTGTGCTAGACCTTGAAGTGTGCTGTTTTCTGAATATAAAGGGCAACATCATTGTACTAAAACCTGTAATCATCTGTATCAAATGTTGTGTGTGCATTTCCGTGCTTTGGCAAACTTCATAGACTTTCACACACTAAAGTGAAAAATCCTCAACCTTTCCCTCCACTTATTTTCTATTCATTTAGAGCACTATGTAATTCTATTGCATGTCGCCTTTTATCTTTAACAGAGACAGCTGCTTACACTGCAGAAAATCACTTTCTTATTCAATATTTTTGTCTTGCTTTCCAGTACAAATATCTAAACCTTCCTAGATCAAGATCAAGATTTATTTGAGAATATTCTGAGAATATTTTGAGAAAAGGGGGAAAAAAAAGAAAGAAAGAAATTTTTTTTTAAATGATTTCTTGCTTAAAACAAGAAAAAATATCTGACATTAGATTAGGGTAAGAAAAATAATCTTTTTTTTTTCTTTAAGTTTATCTTTAAGTTTACCTTTCTTACCCTATTGGTGGATATTTTCTTGTTTTAAGCAAAACATTTTGATACATTTGAAGTAATTTTGTTTCTCAAGCAAATGTATCTTGATTTAAGAATGTTTAGATATTTAAACAAGAAAACAAGACAAAAAATTACAGTAAAGCACCAGCAATAGGGGTTATGCGCAACAGACTTCCGTATTCTGTTAACCGGGTCTCGTCGCTTCCGGTTCAAGCGTTTTGCATATGCTTAGTTAAATATGAAGCAGTTTTACTCAAGATGCCTTCAAAGTAGATACCAATGATGATCATAACCAATGTCCATCACATATGCGGACTGATATCTAAAAGTTGTTTTTATTTTTATTCTTTTCACATTTAGATATAAAAATGGAATAAAACGTCAACAATAAAAACAGCTAGCTAGTTTAACTGATTATCTTAAAAGTCCATAGATATGGCTATTATTTAATACGGCTGTTAACACGTTCTCCGACAAGCGGAAGCAATGAGACCTGTTTTCCGGGTTTGGTCAGGTTATGTTCGACATATACCCTATTTACAGTGTAATTTTCAGTTTGTATATTGTCACACTGTAAGTCTGCAGAAAGCGTCTCTCCCCTGCTATCTTGATGAAGTGAAGGCTGTCACCTAGTGGTTATTGTATGAAACTCATGACATTTAACAGGTTTATATACAGTAGACCAACTCTGCTCCCCTTTGACTAAATATGCAGTGTTGGGGAAAGTTACTTTTAAAAGTAATGACTAGTTACTTGACAAAAGTAATCTGATTACGTAACTCGCATTACTTCTAATGAGTTACCCCAACACTGGCAATTAGCATAATTGATCTCTTGGTGATCTGTGAGAATTTGACATCTCTGTAACAAAATGTTTACATTTATTCTCCAAAAAACCCACCAAGGTGTATTTACTCT